TTAAAGAGTACTTAGCAGAAATATTAAGCAACCTAATAGGGTTGCAAACTCCAGCAAAAAAAAAAAAAAAAATAGGGAACCACCCCCCAACCCTCCACCTCGTGATGCTTAATCGACGTAATCAACTTTAATTTGATGCAGTGTGGAAAAAAAATGCACCGAAATAAATTATTTTTCAAGAATAATTAAATAGATTCAACATCTTTCTTCAACAGAACTGCAGACTGCACAGATGGTACCTTCCCAAAGGAAAAAGTACTATAGCTTACTAGGATATATTAGACTTAATAGTTACTATATACAGTAATGGACTTCTATACATTTTACATCAGATTAAAACTTTGGGTGTAAAATTCTGATAATTATTTATTAAAAGCTAGACATTTTAAATGAGAATAAGAAAGAAAAGTATGTCTTTGTGCCCCCTTTTCCCCGTTAATGCCCTATCGGCCCCCTGGCTAAACTTTGCTAGATCTGCCCCTGCACAGTTACCAGCTGTCAGCTACGTAGAAAAAGATCCTCGAGTAGAAAGTAATATTAAATAAATTCTAACAACAGCTTATCAAGCTTAAACGTGCTGCTGTTGTTCAGCCGCTGGTTTCCTCTTTCTGGTGCAAAGTGGGCCAAAAACAAACAAGAGAGACGGACTTGCAACAAAAAAGCCGATCAGCTGATCATTGATCAGTTTCACGACAGGAGAGGGAGGGAGAGAAGAGGCAGTTGCTCCATATATCGGTTGTTAAGCTTAACATGGAAATGCTTTACAAACATTCAGAGATGAACTTACACACTTGCTTTACTTCTCTCTGGGATAACTTCCTCGGAGATGAAATGCCGGATTGCTAGCGAGGCTACAAATACACGCAGCGGCTCTATCACGTGAGGGGTACTGCTGCTGCGTGCTATGGTTATGAGCCGAGTTTTGTGAGGTGCTTTTTTGATATTTAATGGATCGGATTACATTTTTTATTTCTCTCCGATATCCGATCCAGTAATTTACGTCAGTATCGGACCGATACCGATACTTAATATCGGATCGGTCCATCTCTAATACATACATCAGTATTTATATGACAATAAATGAGGAAAAGCATAATAGCGTAATGTTGTTTAAAGCTAAGTATTTTATGAATATAAATGAAGGTGGTCTGGTTTGTTTTCTTTATTCACAACCAGCTACAGCAACACATTATATTGACTGCAGGTGGAGTTTGTGCTCATAGAAAAACCTAAAGAAACGCACCTGTATGTTACCTGCTCAGTACAAAACAGCAAGCAGACCCAGTTAGAGCCGAGCTGATGAGCACAGTGGTGGACTAGCTGGTCAGCAGTTACACATCAACATATTTCCCTCAAAAGCTGGTGGGGAACAAAAATAGATGAAGAACAGAGTACCCAGGACAAAGCTACAGCAGCATTTATATTTCCCTACAAAACATATTTAGGAAAACATATCGTGGCTGTGCAAACTCTTTTACCCAATGCAAGTATAAATGTTATTTTAAATTAAATATCATTATTGTGTATTTGTATTTATTTTAAATCAGCTGTTTATTGATTTAGTCTTTTAATCTTTGAATGTAATATTTAACAGTCATATAGGAAGTCATATTAATTAAGAGTAGTTTTAATTAAATTATTTAATTTAATTTTAATTAGTGGTTGCAGCACGGCGAGCAGTGACCGTGGGGATAAACTTCATGCCACAGCAACCCTGAACTGGTTAAGCGTAACAGGATGGATGTTTAAATTATTAAACTTCTTGTTGTTGTTGTTTTGTTTTTTTAAAATAAAGGAACACATGAGGAATAAACAGGGGAAATTGTGCACCAACTAAAACTGTGTAAAGTTTTCTACACGCTGTTCTTGAAACTGAAGAACTGATTTTTTTTTCTTTCAAAAGATAAAAATACCAAACGACACCTCTCATCAGGCCTCTCGAACTGACACATAGACTTCACCTCTGTGCTGTTTGCACAGTTTTATTCGCTTGCACTGCATTACATGTCGCTTTCCTCACACATTGTCCTCACCTCCTCCATCCTGAGCTACATCATCTTCACCTCACTCTGCAAGGGCCACGACTCGTGACCTTGGGTCACAATTAAAATGTAACTATACTCCTCTGCATCAAAGCCAGATATTGGCAGCAATACTTTTGTTTTTCTTTCCAAAAATAAAGGCACATAAAAAGTTAGTGCTATTGTAGCTAGGATTGCTCCATTATCTCATTACATAAAACTGATTAAAAATCCATCATGGCAGATGTTTCGAGATATAAATATGTGTTTATTTCAAAACCAAGTGTACCTAAATAATGCATGCAAATGTTTCATTTTTATTTCTTAACATATGAAAGTTAGTTGTTGCAATGGAAATCGATGGTCACAAAGGTCTATGATTCCAGTGAAAGGAGATCTAGATGAAAATAATTTAAAGTGTTGGTAAACAAACATGAGCAGGCAGCTAACAAAAATCAGGTGTCTATTTGCACAAGGCTTCAGTATTAGCTTATGGAGTACTATGTGTTCTTGGACTAAGACTACATCAAAACTAACAAGATGTAACCTCCAGGTCTGAAATATGAAACCAATGGCCATTCTTCCTGACAGCCAACGTGAAGTGACTCTTCCTCCTCAGGTTATAAGGAAGTCAAATAAGAAAATGACTCTACTTTCCACTTTACTGATGAGTTTACGGTCCAACTAATCTAGAGTAAAACACGTGATAAATCAGCAGATAAAAAGTCGGGCGGCAGTGTGGTTAGCGTGCACAGAGAAACTCAAAGATCTGAAACTGTGACATAGTTGCTGCAGGACAGCAGTTTGACTGCAACCTTACTTTGATGTAGGATTAAAAGCAGAAAACCAGTGGAGTCCTCTTTCGCAAAGAGACGAGACGTAGATGAGTTGCGCTTATTAGCACAGACTGACTCGGATTGAGTGCAACATGTTGACCTTTGCCTACACTTACAAATTAAACAGCAATTGTTTGCAAACCTTCACCAGTCTGAGTGATTACAGTCAGTCCAAGAGAGACCACGATGGTTCGGAGACAGGTTGCCTCCCCTCAGACAATTTAGAGTTATCACCCAGAGCTTGAGGATGTCACATGCTGCATGCTCAACCTCTAGGCAACCAGCTGGTTGGCACAAGTACTTGCAATCAGTTGCGAAAAAGGAAATAAATGAATGTGAACACTATTTTTTTGGGCTTTCTCTCAAGTTGTCATTCAACAGGCTGTCATCCTGTTTTCACTCTTGTCAGACTGAACCACGAGTAAACTGTGTTTCTCTGTCTATAACGTACATCGGGTGTTATTCTCTCCTGATATTATCCATCCATCCATCAGACAAGGAGGGGAAGTTAATTGTCACCTTTCTTGGTCAGTAGGAGCTATAGAAATCAATTTCACTTTTTATATACAGAAAAAAATGGCCAGAGCTTGAAAAAATCACAATCTAGTAAATGTACTATTGTTACTTAATTAAAGCTAGAAGTAACTCTGATTTACCTTTGCTACTTTTGCTTGTTAGGGACAAATATTTAGGGCTCCCAGACTGATCCAAAAACACATCAGGAAGTGAGATTTCCCATTTGATGACCTTCCCACTCTGAAGAACAGCATTTACCTTATTTACCTTAATGTCCTTTGGAGTTTGGTCACTTTTGTCTCCAAACAAAAAAACAAACAAACAAAAAAACAAACATGATGGAAGAAATGTCAAATGAGTGGCAGCACTAGGGCTGGGCTATATATCGAGTAATTTTAAAAATATCGATATATTTTTATACGAGATATAAGATGTGACAATATCGTTTATATCGATATAGTCTATGTTACGTTATAATTAGAGTTGTGGAGCCACAAGTTTGCCTCTCTTTCGTCCACTTTTGTCTTTACGCAACATTACTCGGCCTCGCCTCTCCTTCACTGAACACAACTCCCCCTCCTTCCCCATCGCTTCACCTGGAGGCAGCGACAAGATGGACACGGCAAATCTCCGTTAACGAGTTACTGCGCATCGCCCCGTGCGTGGGGCTGGACGGCACCAAATTGTTAACGAGCTAACCACGCTAACGAGCTAAGCCTAAAATCCTTTCATTCTCTCAAAAGTCGACAGCGCGCCTTATGTATGAATTCTGGTTGTGCTTACTGACCGTGAACCGATTGTATGTGGTACACGGCGCTCAGCAATCTGTCAAAAAATGTTTTAGTTCGACTTTGGTAAGCTACTGAGCTGCACCGCTTGATGGATTGTCGGAACATTACGGCTACCGTAGTCTGGAGCCTAATACGTAGGCTCCAGACTACTAATACGTAATACGTACTGTGCTTCAACGTAATATTACCGTATTGTGTGTGTATAAGGACCATAAATGGCACCTGTTCAGAGACACGGTTACAAAGAGGATTTCAAACTCCAGGCTGTCAGTCACGCAGTAGAAGTTGGGAACAGAGCAGCTGTGAAATCTGTCTCTTTGTTATTGTGCTCGGCGTCTGTTAGTTTGCATTTTGACTGCACAATTGTGAGCTCTTTGTTATGCACAAAAACAACATAGTTTTCTTTTATTTATGGAGCATTATTATTTAATAAATGCTCATAATTTATTTTTGAGTAGTTTTTTTCATGTACATCTGTGCTGTATGTTAATAAAAGTGCCTGTGTGACATCTGGGACACAGCTTTGACTAAGAACTCTCTTTTTGTTCTTACGTTATGGCTTTAAAAAAAATCGAGATATATATCTTATATTGCCGTCCGGCTAAAAAAATATCGAGATATGAATTTTGGGTTATATCGCCCAGCCCTGGGCAGCACATTAAGTCCATCTTTTATATACGACGTGAGTTTACCTTTCCTTCTCTTTCTGTAAAAGGAGACTTAAACGCTGCTACTCTGTGCAGGATTAAAACCTCAGACTCGAAATATTCAGCAACACACATCTTTGTTTGTGTGAGGATTTTTGTGTGGTTTTTTTTTTTCATGTAAACACTCACCGCTAATCCACTTGGCCTCGGGGTCGTGAATGCTGAACTCTGGTTTGTAAAGATCTGCTACAGTCAGCCTGGACTTGCTGCTGCCGGGAAGTTCAACTGGAAAACAAATAAATGGGTGAACTCCAGGTTACAGTGAGAGATTCATCCAACGCAGAGCTGCAGATTATAAGTGTCTTATAAAGCATATTCATGTACTTCTGACAAACACATATTTGCATGGTTTAGAAAGCTAGAAACATCATCCTGTCTCTCTCCACAGGCTGACATACCGGGTGTGAGGACGACCACAGACATGGTGATGAGCGAGCAGACCACCACGATCACCAGCAAAGAGATTGCAATGCCCTTCCAGTTCCTCTGCGGAGGGCTGACGTCCACATACTCCTGCAAACACAGAAAGTCAGAAACAAACACTAATCATCAGAAACTGTGCCTCTGTGTGTGAGTCACTCGAACACTGCGAGAATTCATCTGCAGTCCTAACAGCCTCTACGCTCGCTGTGGGATTTTGCTCTCATTCAGTCAGAAGTGATGCTGTTTAATGCGGTCCAGCTTGCACTTCATCCCAGAGGTGTTGCATGTGGCTGAGTTTGAATTTATGTGTAACTTCTTCCAGACCAAACTAGGAAAACTTTTTTTACACGGCGCTGACAATAAAATATCATCCCAGTACTGATATAAAGAAATGGGCTCTGCAAGACCTGTGAAGGTGTCTTATGACATCTGGCACCAGCTGGCAGCTCACTGTGAGTTGGAGGTGCTGTGGACCAGTTAGGGATTTGCCCTGAAGCTCCCCACAAGCCTCAACCACACACACAACTCTTAACTTAATACAGTTACTTTTGATCATTCTGAAAAATGGGATACTTTGTATAAAAATGGCTGTAATTTCTAAACAGTTAATTCAAAAGTGTCATTAAACCACTTAAATTAAAGCTGAAGGTTTCCACGTCAGTCACATCTTGAGTGTTTTAAACTCTGCTGTGTTGGTGTACAGAAGGAAAAATACATTGTACCTTTCTCCAGCAAAATAAAGTTTGATGCTTCATTTTAATTACATTTTATTTATATAGCGACACATTACAACAACAGTTAGCTCAAGGTGCTTTATATCGTAAGGTGAAGACTCTACAATAATACAGAGAAAATAAGAGAAACCCCACCAATCAGACGAGCCCCTATCAGCAAGCTCTTTGGTGACAGTGGGAAGGAAAAACTCCCTTTTAACAGGAAGAAACCTCCGGCAGAGCCAGGCTCAGGGAGGTACAGCCATCTGCCACTGGTGTGGGGTGAGGAAAGGAAGACAGGACAAAGAAACCTTGGCCATTTCACTCTAACTAAATGATGGACAGAAAATTGTGGCTCTGCTGTAACAACCCGTTCTCACTCCCAAAGCGTAACATTTTACGCTACGTGACAAATCGTCACCATATTACGTTTTCGGCTACCCACCACGTTCCTAAATGACGACCTCGGAAAACAGAGGAAATATGAGAACCCTCTGGACTGAATCTACACATGTTCGCTCTTTTTCTTCAAATCGCTTAGAAACACGCTATTTGACATCATTAAAGTCCTGGTTAAGATCAGGAAAAAGGTTATGGTTAGGGCTAGGGATAAGGTTAGGTTTAGGGCTGGAATACAGGGCTGGAACGTCTATTACCGCGGGAGCGTCATTGCACTGGATTCCAGCCATAACCCGCCGCGTACCCTAAGAACGCCGAAGGTCTCCTTTCGCGTTCCTCAGGAACGCCGCGGGACGTGACAAAACGTCGACATGTTACGCCTCGGGAGTGAGAACGCTCTGGCTGTAATCTGTGCTCTCTTTCAAAATGAGAGAGGAAATAAAGGCTCACTGAATTTGATGCTGTGGCGTTCACACTGAACATCTACAGGACGTTTGGGACTGAGATGCTTGAGCGTGCTCCAACCACCATCATAAAAAGATCAAACATAGCAGAGAGAGACTGCATAGGCTTAAAAATCATGTATGAACTGAGCCCCTGGGTCCAGATTACTGTGTGATACTTGCTGTAGAGCAGGGGTGTCAAACTCAAATACACAGTGGGCCAAAATTCAAAATGAAACAAAGTCGCGGGCTAACGTTAATATTTATTGAAAAAAAAATCTTCCTCCAGATATAAGAATGAATCTTTTCTTATGGACTCAAATAAGTTTAGCTGAAAAACTGAATATGGAACAAGCAAAGCTTAATACTAAACAATATATATATTAGCTGTATAATACCAGTAGGCCAGCTCTGATAGTAATTTGGTATGGCTTCGCGGCCTAATTTGGCCCGCGGGCCAGAGTTTGACACCTATGCTGTAGAGCATTAACAATACATCTCCAGGTTTCAATTACATTTTAATTTAATATGAATTTGTGAAGTTAACACAAAATTTCCAGAGCACTGAAGCTGATTTAATAGCTAACTCCTTGTTTTGCTACCTTTGAGCTTGGTACTAGCAGCCAGTTTTCAGATTCTTCTTCTTTTTTCTTTTTTAAAGTTTTTTGAAAGTGAAGCTTAGCCCCCTGAGCATTTCCCATTTTTTGATTTTAACCAGGAAAAAATATATAAGTTCAGTCAGTAAGAGCTCCACAACTTTGAGGCCTTAATGAACAGCCTCAGGCTCTATGGATCTGAGACACCTGGGAGAACTTAGAAATACAATAAGTTTCCTTGTCTTCATCACAGGGCCAGAGTGAGATTTGTAAAAGTCCACTGAGCGCTCATGGTTCTGAAAAATTCATCACCTGCAACTCCACCAAATCTATCAAAGCTTTGTCCTTTATACAGCTGCACTGTGACTAACACCAGTGTGACGCGTGATGTAGGGCACCTCTGATATCCTGTAGTGGAGACTTGAAAATGAAAATCATTTGCACATTCACTGATTCTGTGACTTTTGTGACTGTGTGTTTGAGATCTTCTGAGATCTAATGTACGATTTGCAAACGGCGGCAAAAAGACAGGATGCAGAGCTGAAGATGAAAAGTGATAAGGATGGACAGGATCAGAAATGAGTATATAGAGGGCAGAGGAAGGATAGTGGATATACTGGGAAAAGGATCCTTAAGACAGAGCTGCCAGGCAGAGGAGTTTGATGGCTCTAGTGAAGCAGGACATGCAGAGGTGGTGTGGCAGAGGTGAGATAAGGTGAGATAGCACTAGATGATCTGCTGTGGCGACCTCTAAGGGGAGAGGTCAATTTAAGAACTTCAAGGTAGGTAGCTGAACTTTTTTATAAATGAGAAAAATCATGGAAGACAAACTTTGATATTGTTTTTTTAATCAAAGAAATTTGGTTGATTATTCCTTTGTTGTAACAATACTACCTGTCTTTTTATGCGGTTGGAAAGCCTGTTTCTTTCCCCTTAAGTTGTGCCACTGTTACGTGCCAAGAGGTGTGGCTTTGCTTTTGTGTTCTATTTATCTTTCAGGTGTCAAGCCTCCACCTATTGGCCAGTTCGAAGTGATTGGCATGTGTCTATTGGCCAATCACACGCCGAGGATTACTACAAATAAGCTGCTCCCTGGCCAGCTGGTGGCTGCTGGCGTCTGCTATGACAAACATTTGCGAACAGGCTTCTTTATATTATGTGTGGTGGGAGGCTGGACAGGTAAGCTGGGGTACCTATACACTGATTGCAGGCGTTAAACTGTTAGACACACTAGGGTATGCGGTTGATGCCACTTTTGTATGTTTTCACTGACCTTTTGTCAAGCAGCTGGGTAGGCCTTTTGTTTTGCATTTTTGTTTTAGTTAGGCCCTGGGAGCTCTCGCCCTCTTTTTGTTTTATTACTTTCTGGTAATAAAACCAGAAAGTAATAAAACTGGTAACAAACTACGCTGTAATGGACTAAAATCTTGCAGTACCATAAGGTACTGCTTGCCCACAACCACACCAGCAAAGAGTACTCGCGCATGCTGCCCACTCTGTGACCTACCTTCACGCGACCAATAGAAACAAGGCGTACAGCCGGGCTAAGCTCAACCACACGAGGAACTTTATGACACAAGTTTACGTGCATATGGACCTCCGGAACCCTTGAGTAAATCATTCCATTCAACACATTGGCTTCAGAGGCCACAGAAAATCTGTGGAGAGGTTAGGTTTCACACTGTTATGTTTAACACTTCCCTAATAATGCAGAACCAGGTACAGTCGGGTCAAGTGTGATAATGAACACCTGTTGGTGCACACTCAATGCTGAGAGGCACCTGCTCTTCATCAGCTCCATTGTTTTCCTCATGACAGGGCACACAAACAAAAAGTCACATAGTACAGTGAGTTACTGAGGACAGGTGATCATATTTTTATTTTATACATATTTTACATGTAACCGTTGGTCAAGAAAGGCTTGAACTACTGGCTAAAAGGAAATTGAAACATGCAATAAGCAGAAGAGACGCAAAATGTGTCAAACGGAGACAAAAACTACTGCAATAAAAAACAAAAAGATACAGAGAATATCTACAAAAACAAAACTGTTCAAAAACTAAAATGAGATATAAAACACAAGCAAAGATGCAACAAAAACAAAACTCTGTCACACAATCACACAATGAGATTTAAAACTAAACAAGGGAAAAAACATGCAGAGTGATACAAAATCAGGTAAAATATCAGCAGGCTACAGAGTCAGAGACACAAAGCAAACAGAAATCATATCTGCATGTACTTATGAACTACTGTTTCATAATCTGTGTCCTGTACAACAGAGTCTGAACCTGTGCCAAACATGTTTGCTTTGCCAGGAGGAGCTCCTCTTGTTAGTCTTATTCTTTTAATGTGATTGTTATTGCTTTATTTATTATCATTATCGACATAAATGTACATATTGTGTAACAAAGAAAGAAGTAGCGCAATAATGAGGAAAAAAGGAGGATAAGCGCATCGGCTCACCGACTCCTGCTACTCTAACACCTGAATGAAGATACACGAGTAAATACACAAGCTTACTGTGCCGGTGTGTGTGTGTATGGATGAGAAGCTTCCAGCATACTGCAAATGAATACATTATAAAAACTAATATAACTTGGATAATTGGTATCCAGCTGTTTTAATACGGATTTGTGTGTGAATCACTTCTTTGTAAAATGAAATGACTGAATAAAAAAGAAAGAAAAATGCAGGTCATCCAGCACACAACATGGATCAGTCTGTAAAATAATGATGTGGGAAGAACAGTCCCTTTATTTCCTCCTATTGTTTGGAGTGCATTTAGAAAACATTAGAAGGAATTCACTATTTTTAATGGAAGCGAGATATAAAAATAGAGCAGACTCGCCGGCGTTCATCTCCAGCATCAGTCAGGATTGAATTTTGACTTTTACGGTCATATAACACTCCCGTCGTCTAGACAGAGTGGTGATTAT